AGGAAAAAAAAAAGTACAAAAATTCTTAAAGTTTAAAAAAAAAGCCAAGAAAGGTGCCCAAAACACGATCAGAAAATAAAGGAGAGAGTTAAAAGCAATAAATGTATTCATTTAAGTCCATATTTTCTTTCCAGGAAAAAAAAAAAAGTAAAGAACAAAAGAACAAAGTACTTTCAGAACACCATCTTACTTTCACTCTCCGTGCCGACAAAAAAGAAACAAGGGAAAAGAATCAAAGTCAACTAGAAAAAAATTAAAATAAAATACTAAACTAAAAAAGAAATCCTTTAAACTGCTCTGTCCGCTTTAAATATTACTCACCAGAACACCTTAAACGCGGAGATGGTAGCGGCGTTTCCTTTTGTCTCCGAAGAGACAAAAACAGCTGGGAGGCGGAGAAAGCAGGAACTCCGAGGGAACGCTCCTTCTGCCCCCTCAAAAGAAAAATCCAGAGGGGGCTAAGAGGTTCTACCTCTATTCTTGCAATCTCTAACCCTTCCCTTCGCCCAGGAAGGGGATTCCGAACCGCGGGCCAGCTGATGTTCGCTGCGCTCCGCAGATCTAACGCTGTCCCAGGAGGACGGCTACGAAGTAGCCGCCATCAACGCCGTTCCCCAGCGGAAGCTCTCGCTGCGTCCACCCTTTCTTAAAACATTCCCTACTTCCCTCCTCTTTCTCTCCTCCCCTCCTACTCTTTTCCCCTCCCCCTCTCCTCTCAATACCCTACTTCCTCTCTACACCTTCTCTCCTCTCATCCCTATCAAACCCATGAACGCAGCATAAGGGGATTGCCCGGGCCGCACTCCTATAAACAACCATTATCTATACTACACTTACCCCACCTCTTACCCTCAGATGATTTTCATCTGAGTTTGATGGGGAATAAAGCTTCCTAAAATTATTTATATATGGAAATGGATCAATATAATTTTGCTCTTCCGTGCTTACTGAATAATAATTGTGATGTTCAGCTCATAAGGCTGAAATTGAAAATCCATAACAATTTTGTAATATGTGTGACCATTCTATTTATATACTATATATAGTATAATTGTATAGCTGCTCCCCATAAACTTTAGGTGAATTTTTGGTCATTATATATAATATATTCAGTTCAAATCTTTGTTAATAATTAACCAGCATAAAATACAAGCAAGAAAAATAACCCCCCTTTTCAATAATACCACTGAAACTTACAAGAGATAAATGATAGCTAAAAACTAGAATTGCTAATAACATTTTAAAAGGTTAAAATGTTAAAATATATACTGTAAGTCTTTCTCAGAGACAGACATGATATTCTGAAGTTTGTTCTTAATGGGAGATTTACCGATGTTCTCAATTGTTCATTGTTCTGTTTGAGAGCCTTTAGATTTATTTTTAATATACATACATACATACATACATATACTAAGAATATAAGAAACTGAAGCCAGGACTTCTGGTTTGCTGCCGCGGCTGCCACAGCCGCTGGAAGGCGAGCTCTGTCTTCCACGTCTGATTTCGCACCGCTGGGGGACCCTGGAAAGAATTGAAAGTCGCCCTGTAGGGGCGAGAAGCAAGGAAGGAACCCCCCCTTGATCGCGGGAGGGCAGTAGCCCTTCCACTCGATCCGGGGCAGCCCTCCAAACCAGCAGATGAAAGACTGGCCATAGAAATATGGCTCGTCACTAGGCTGCATACAGCTAAAGTCAGACTTACCACCAGGCACCTATAAAGCAGCATGGATGAGACTAGGTGAGATCTGAACCTCTCTTCAATCCTCATTATTTTTTCTACCTGTATAAGTTGCCCAAAGTATTTTTCCCCCTGTGGAGAGGGAAGGGAAATTTTATTTATTTATTTATTTATTTATTTATGAGACTTATATACCGCTTTTAAGTGCAAGCACTCTCTAAACGGTGTACACTAGTAAGCAATGTATATATATATTTACATTGCCCCCAACAATCTGGGTCCTCATTTTACCTACCCCGGAAGGATGGAAGGCTGAGTGAACCTTGAGCCGGTGAGATTTGAACCGCTGACCTGCTGAACGCAGTCAGCTAAAGTGGCCTGCAGTACTGCACTCTAACTGCTGCGCCACCTCGGCTCAAATTCTATCCCACCCCCTAAAAACAGTGGCAACTGACTATCCAGGGGAGTTTAAAACGCTGAAAGAATAACTAGTTCTAAGATAGCGGCGCCTGGATCGGCTGCGACTGCATTGGCTCTTGAAGGTGAAAAGTTTTGGGAGGGATATTAAGGGATATGAGCCACATGATCAGGAAGGTTTTGATGTGTTTGAGCAATGTGGTGGAACTAAGGTAACATGTGACCAACAATCTTTGCTGGCATGGCGAGTTTCTAGCTGTTTTGGAACTATTGGTGAGACCGTTAAAAGTCGTTGGCGCTGTTTGAAATTGTTCTGCCACAGCAAGATCTGACTGCTGGCCCAGCGACGGATTTTACTGCAAATCAGGGCTGTTTCCAAAGGAAGTAGAGGAGAAGAATGTTATACTGTATTATTAATTAGATGATGTAAGATGGTGAGAAATAGAATATATTCAAATAGATAAGACATGTATCCTGAATATTAGACTTTGTGATGAACTGTGATAAAGGAAACTTTGGTCACTTAAAATGTGGAAATTATAAATATTAATAAGAATTGCATTAGTTTAAACATGAGATACTAAATACTAAGGGGAAAAGAGAGGAAATATTTAATGTGGTAGTTTGAGACTTGTACTAAAGATACTTGTATGTCATTGAATTTTCGATTAACTCAGCCACCACGTTGCTTTTTAAATACTTAAATGTAAAATTAGAAAATCAATAGAACATTAAAAAAAAAGAAACTGAAGCCATAAAAGGGATGTAAAAACAGGAGATGCCTGTCCGTAATCGTGTTACTCGACTGCTCCCAAAGAGCTGCCACCGGAAGCTACACATGGAGCGAAACTTCTTCTTCTAGGTAAACTTTTCAATAAGGTGTCTTAGGATCAAAACATAGTCCTAGCAATGGGGACAAAAGCTGGCCTGCTCATTGTCCAAAATTGATCTTGTCTCTATCTTCTATTTTGATGTTCAATGGGTGGGCATAAAGTTTGCTAAACAATACTCAGCAAACTTATTGATCAGCAGTTATCAAGATTACCCCTATCGTTTCTTTTGAATACAGGCATTAGAAAAGCAAACAACAACATACAACTCAGATGGGGCTCCCTTTATGTTTGGTCTGGAAACTGCAAGAAAGTGGTCAGATTGCAGAGTATGGTGTGTGGCCATGAATGTGTTGCATTTTGTTGGAGTAGTTGCCACTTACCTACCAAGCGAGTTTCAAGCTTTTGGTTTTGTCATACCAGACTCTCAAACTTAACTTCTCCCAAGCTTTTCCTCCCACCTAACCACTTCTCCTAATTGCAGGCCTACTGCAGGCGTCAGGGTTTTTCCTTTCCAAGGATCAAAAGTCAGCCCTTCCCCAAAAGAGAATCCAGAACTCTTTCAAAACCTAATATTTCATCTTGAATTTCCTCCTGATTCCTAACTGAGCATTCAGACTTGAACTTCTCCTGACCCCCGAGCCATGTGTCTGCCACCAGCATCAGGACCAAAAATTGGTCCTTCCCCAAAGAGAAACGGGAACCATTATATAAATATAAAAAAACTAATGTAAAATTCCTGAACATCCTGCCCTCTATTTTTTTTTTTTTTTTTGAATTCAGAATGAGCTCTGATTTCCCCCTCGTGTTCTAAATACATAAATGTGCTGAAGAATATTTAGCATCAAGTGGTTTGGCAGTCAAGAGGGTTACAAAACTCTGAGAATGTTTCATGATTGCCAGATTGATAGTAGTTGTATTAGTAGCAGAATGACTAATATGATATCACAAGTGCCTCAAGAATTGGAATTTGGTACCGCCAGTGAAAAGAAAGTAAGATTCGTGGACTTTGTGTACGATGCTGAATGTAGCCCAACCAGAGAAAGAGAGAGAAAATAGACAAAAGGGAGTTTTTTTTCTCTACGCTGTTTATTCCTCTTTTTACGGATATACAGTACCATTTTCTCCATTCAGTTTTAAGACATACCTGCTATAGATCACCCCTCTCTTTAGGCTTCTCACTGATTTTTGATAATGTTGTATTAAAGCAACATTCCCTGTCTGTCTTTTTTGCTTATACATTGAATTTTCCTTTTAATCTGGGTGTTAGTTGAAAGAATCAGGCATCTGTGTTTGAAAAAAACTGTCAGCTACTCATGAGTCAACCGTTGGCTGGTTGCCCAGTGTCCTGCAATAAACAGCAGAGATGTCTTGTGAGAGTGATTCATGTGCTCCCAAGTAGGTGATAAGTCATTTGCAAAACAAAAGGTTTTTTAGCGAGCATTAGAAAGGGTCTTGACTCCTGTTTTATATCAAGCCTCAATTTCCTTGGCCTAATAATGTGCCTAACTTGTTGCCTAGCAACAGAGGTGGTTTAATGAAAAAAAAAATCAGATGCTTAATAAAATGAGGCAGAATGGCTGAGGATGTCCTTAAAACTGAAAATTTTGCCAGTTCAATTCCTTAACTATTACAGTTCACTGGCTCTCAATATTTGTCTATTGAATCAGTTTAGCAGTAAGACTAAAACCATGCTTAATATGCAGTATTTAAATGCAGCTTCGGTTTGAATTAGAAGAGATCTTAGAATACAAGATGACATTTGTTGAGAATTATTAGGATTGCTGTAGCATGTAAAGATCCAAGATTTCCATAGATATATTCTACCTTGGTGCTTACCGCTCAGTTTGGCAACTTTAAGATGGGTGGACTTCCAATTCTCAGAATTTCCTAGCCAGCATGCTGGGAGTTGGTCCATACCTCTTAAAGTTCCCAACTGGGAAAAATGCAGGTGAGAAAGTTTTAATTTTTTTTTTAAAAAAAATAGAAATTAACAAAGTTTGTGTTCTATTTCGGCTTTCTTGTTCGCATGTGACCATTTGGTTATATGAGGTGTTTTTATTTCCTTTGTTATAGATGACATCTGGTGGAACAGAGAGCATCCTGCTGGCCTGTAAAGCCTACAGAGATTTGGCTTATGAAAAAGGGATAAAATATCCAGAAATGTATGTATCTTATCTTTCTCTGGACTTATTATGATAGGAACTAGTTTTATTCTTAAATAGCATACTCCTTTGCTTTTTTTTCCTGGCTTGACCTCAAGAAGACAGAAACAGAAACAAATTATTATAACCAAGTCTTTAAAACAAGCCAATTGAAAGGCATAGATTATGAGACTGACTTGTCTCAAACCACCATTACGTTTAGGGACAATTTAAGGTTGGAAAGTACCCGGAGCTATAGAGAAGTGAAAGCATTTCTGTGTCCTTGTAGTAATGCCATGCAAGAAAAGCTAAGTGAGGAATGCATGAGTTTAAGCAGATACTAAATTCTTTTCCATTTTTTCTGTCACCGTAAATCTGGCTCTTAAATTTGCGTTAGTTTACTTTCGTAGAAATAAATAATTTCAGATGGGCAAGGTCTTTTTGAGGCAGTTACTGTAAATCTAAAGAACTGCTTTGTGTGCTTTTGAATAGGAGATCATTTTGCTATAAAATACTGTGTGCTGCTTTGGAAACTCTTTTGATTTTCAAAGCTGGTTTCTAATTCTCTGAAGACTACTCTCTTGAGAATCTCAATACAGTGAACTAGTTATGAAGTTCTTTGCATTTAGTTTTTTTTCTGGGAGTGCTGATAACAGGTTTGTGACATCGGTTGTGTATTTCAATTGATGTGATTGTCATGTAGACTCTGAAACTGTAGGCAAACTCATAATATCCTTAGAGATGAACCCAAGCATTCCCTATTTATATTTTATTTATACAAAATGTTTATGCTGCCATATGCCTTATAGGTTTATAGTACAATAACAGCAACCTACAGTTTATCAAATGATCCAATAATAACCAGATAATCAGATTTAAAAATTCTAAAGACAAATATTTATACTGATTTAATTAGAGAAAGGTCAACAATTATATTTTTTAGGGACTGGAAAATTATTATGGGCTTGTTGCTGGAAAAAAACTAACTTGTGATTTATGGGTTTGACAATTAGAAAGAGTAGTTTATTGAAAGAAGGAGACTGTGATGTAACCCTAGAGAGGAACGGTAAAATATAAAATGCATTTATAACCGCTGATAATAGGAACCCATTTCCTTATAATTGTTTCTATTTTTTCTTTTTCTCCTCTATTTCTTTCTCTTTTTTCTATTTTTTTTCTTACTGTGTACTACATTTTTCTATTTACTTTCAATATCCATATGTTTTTTTATTTTTTTAAATGTCTTTAATAAACATAATAAATTCTTAAGGCAGCTTATCATCACCATTAATGTGCATAATCATGTCGATTAAAAAAAAGATTTAAGTGCATGCTTAAAGTCCACGGTTTCAGAGTACCATATGCCCTAGGAACCAAGCAGGTGTCCCCAACCTTTTCAGTTTGTCAATCTCTTATAAAGTTTCAAATTGTTCATTAATTTTTTTTATTGAAAAAGTTTTATTAACAATTAACAAAAATTTTTTTTATAACCCCCAAACCCACCCACCCCCACCCCCCTGCCCTCCCCACTTCCCAGAGCCGAGTACAGGGTTATTACAAACATATTAAACAAAATCTAATTAAATTTAACAAATTATACAGTAACCAAATTCATACTTAACCCTTAACTCCCTTTAAACCAGTGGTTCTCAACCTTTCTAATGCCGCGACCCCATAATACATTTCTCCATGTTGTGGTGACCCCCAACCACTTATGCATCACTGGATGCCAGGGGCATGGCCAAAGAAAAGGGGGAAAAAATGGCGGACTGCATTGTTTGGCAACCGCTGTGAAATGGTCGTTCGACCCCAAATGGGGTCCCGACCCACAGGTTGAGAACCACTGCTTTAAACCTTAATATCCATTTTAAAACAATTATTATAAAGTACCATAATAACAGTAAATAAACTAAATAATTCCCATTATAAAATGCTATTAATAATTATTATTTAAAATTTAATCATAAAATAAATGGAACTTTTTAGTTCTATATTTAATCTGAATATAATCTATCCATCTTCTCCATACCATAATATATCTTTCTTGTGTATGATCCTTTAAATAAGCAGAAATTTTAGCCATTTCTGCTAAAAATTGTTCATTAATTCTGAAACATTTATGAAAATGGATGTTACAAATAAGAAATACAGCACTACAAATAAGAACAGTAGCAACGGAGCTTTGTGGGTTGATACTGACCACTTTGAGGAATCCTGCTCCAAAGTATGAAAGAAGCCCAGAGAAAGAATGTACTTAGAACTGGGGAATTATTAATGTCCGGATATTATTTTGTGTTTCTGTTGGCTTTTCCTTTCAAGAGTTACCTTACTAAACTTAAAAATGGCATATCTCTGCTATGATTTTTCTTACTGACCCTAGCCTGCAATATATAACATTTGCAATGCACTGGTTTCAATTTTCTCTTTTAAAAGTAATTTTATTAAAAGTTACAATTACAAAGTTAAAAACTAATATAAGCTAAAAAATTGAAAGAATAAAGAGAAAAAAAACAAAGTGCAGAAAAATAGAATGAAGAAAAAAAAAGGATACAGTAAAAAAAATGACTTCCCCCTTCATTTAACAATATAAACAAACAGAGGAACTGTTCACCTTCTCTTAAATAATCTCTTCTACCCATATCCCATCTCTTATCTATAAACTCATTGTTAAAGACTCATTGTTTCAGTCCTGATCAGCAAAAGTCCAGTAAAGTTTACCAGAGATAACAATTTATCAGTTTAAATCTTGATCAAACAAACCAACTTTACATTCCTTTCTTTTACTTTTAAGAATCTTGATTTTTTTTTTGTTATTGTATATGAGTAGCTGACACAGGAGAAATTCATTTTATGCTGAAATAGAAAAGCAATGTCATAAAAATACAATAATACTTATGGGCGTGCCATCTACTATATATCTTAAGAGTTACAAGATGCCTACAATTTTTGGTCCTCAACACAACAGTTGAAATAATACCAACGGTTTGGGTGTTTCTCTTTGTTTTATTATTGTCCATTTTTCAATTTGCCATAACAATAATATAGATGGGCAAATATTACAAGGCACAGTTTGAAGCTTTCTCTGGATTTACCGCAAGATTTAATTATATCCAGGAGCTCTGTTTGTTATCTCATTTTTCACCAAAATTTAATGTTAGCAAACCTACTAAATGTAGTTTACAATTAGCAAACTCTTGCCAGGAAATCTTGAATGGGAAAACTCTAGTTTTTGCTGCAGATAGACAGGGTGAAATCTGCAGTGTTTTAGAATGCCAGAAGGCTGAGGATAATGGGCATTATTGTCTAATACAGACTGAAGGAATCGTATTAGGAAAGGTGACTCTTGATTTGAAATCTTATCTTGCCTGTTGGTTCCATCAATAATATCATTAAAGATGTAGCTTAAAGATTAAAGGTAGAAAGATGGAGGTGATCTTGCAGATTCAACTTACGTTGTTCGGTCTATGGGATGTGCCTATTTATTTTGATTTTTCTCTCTCCATTAGTCTCATCCCTATCAGTCTATTTTTGGTTCAGAAAAGAAAGGAAAGGTGTTTGGTAAGGTGTGCTACCAATTCTTTCTGAAATGTATTATTTTCATTGTTGGTTTTGTTTTTTAGGCTGGTGCCAGTAAGTGCCCATGCAGCATTTGACAAGGCTGCCCATTATTTCAGGATTAAGATTCTGCGTATTCCGTTGACCGAATCGATGCAGGTGGATGTGAAGGTACCCCTGGCATTTCCAGATGTTTCCAATACACTGAGTTGAACAGAGTGATGGAACCTTTGAGAGAGGCGGGTGGGTGGAAGGAAGTAAATTAATACAAGGAATTCTTTAGATGACTCAGTTTTAATCCCTTGATTTGTACACAGATATTATTGATTCCTAATTACTTTGTCCTGATTTTTTAGGCAATGAAGAAAGCCATTACCAAGAATACAGCCATGTTGGTCTGTTCAGCCCCACAATTTCCTCATGGAAGTATTGACCCCATTGAAGAAGTAGCAAAGGTAATATTTTTGCATTGATACAAAGCTGCTGCAATTGCGACCACAACTCAGCCCAAATTGTTAAGCGAGTTGCACCCCATTTTACAACCTTTTTTTGTCACAGCTGTTAAGTAAATCACTGTAGCTGTTAGGTGAATCATATGGCCGTTAACCAATTCTGACTTCCCCCATTGACTTTGTTTGTTAGAAACCAGCTGAGAAGGTATAAATGGTAACGGCATGATCCTGGGACAATGCAACTGCCAGTTGACAAGTGCCCAAATTTTGATCACGTGACCATAGGGATGCTGCAACAATCTCAACTGTGAAAAACTGGTCAGAACTCACTTTTTTCAGTGTCGTTGTAATTTCAGACATCGCTCAAGAAATGGCTGTATTCTTGCCAGGTAGTTGGCATCACTGTTTCATGGCTGTTGTGCCCTGCCTTGTTAATTTTGCTATGGCTTGGGGTTTTACTATTCATTTCCAAAAATGTCCCTCTGCTATAGGGCAACATCTAAATCACTGAATGGATACCCATCTTGAAGAGATAAAATACCAATTCTGGTTATCTTTGCATCACTGTAATTGTATATGAGAACGTGTTACTTCTAAAAAGGTTTGGATGTAGGATGTATATGTTGGTGTACAATTTTTGCCTTATTTGGATTTATGATCTGTTAATGAAAGGGACCCCATCAATTATTTGAGTTTGGATTCCAGATATATTCAGGAATCAGACTGAACTTTAGAAGAAAGACAATAACTTAGTGATAACTACACACATGTACAAAATTCCAGCTGAAATGTTTGCTAGTTCAGGACAGATTTTTCCAAAGATATCATGGTAACTACTGCCAAGGGTCTAGATCATCTTCACATTGCATCCTGTATTCCATATGGTTGATATGGTTAATCAGCTAATCAATAAAGTTATACTATAATGTATTCCACATACTGGACATTCAGTTGAAGTAGCAATAATCCAGATTTTGTCACTGAAAATAACCATGAAAAAATTAGGTATGAGAGAAGTGTTTTTTTTTCTTTTTCTCAAATTTACAGGAATGATCTGTTAATGTAGATCTGCTGGTAAATGATTTTATTCACACAAAGAAATATTTCACTTCAATAATTTCCAGCAGGAAGAGCTGTTAGCCATTGCCAAAAACCAGAGCCATGGTAATTCACAATTTAAGGTGATGGCATTGAATAGTTTTTCTAGATAATACCTGAACTTTCCTAAATACAGGTAATCCTTTGACTTACTATCATTCATTTAGTGACCATTCCAAGTTATAATGGCACTGAAAAAAGTGAGCAATGACCGTTTTTCACACTTACGAACATTGTGGCATCCTCTTGGTCATGGGATCAAAATTTCAGACGTTTGGCAACTGGCATGTATTTATGACGGTTGCAGTGTCCCGGGGCCATGCGATCATCTTTCGCGACCTTCTGACAAGCAAAGTCAGTGGGGAAGCCAGATTCACTTAACAGCCGTGTTATTATCTTAACAGCTGTGGCAAGAAAAGGGGTTAAATGGGGCAAAACTCACTTAACAATTGTCTCACTTAGCAACAGAAATTTTGGGCTCAATTGTGGTCGAAAGCCAAGGACTATTTGTAAGGCATATGTTTATCAGTCTCCAAGCTCTACTCGTAGTTCACTTTTGCGACCTAAGAAGAAAATGATCTAAGTTATTTTCCTGTCTTGATGCAGCTTGCACTGAAATATGATGTTCCCTTACATGTGGATGCCTGCCTGGGAGGTTTTCTCATTGTCTTCATGGAGAAGGCTGGGTATCCTTTACAGCAGCATTTTGATTTCCGAGTGAAAGGCGTCACGAGCATTTCTGCAGATACGCATAAGGTGTGTCAAGGAAGACTTGTATGAGCTTCTGATGGGAGTTGCTTTGAATCTGCGCTAAGCTGGATCAGGCATATTTCCTCTAAATTGTTTCCAAAGCAATATCATTTTTAAAACTCATTTCTTCATTTGATTTATATAGGCCCCCATCTCATTTTTATGTGACTCTAGGCAGAATATCTATGGAAGATTCTCCATCATCCAGGCCATTGTTGCCCCAAGGTGCATTTTCCAAAGGTAACTGGACTTTCTTGTTTGTTTGTTTTTCTTTTGAAAATATTTTATTTCTCATTTAAGAAGCTTCTTCGGTTAGAATTTTTGGTTAGAACTGAAGAAGCATCTTGGATGAGAAGTGAAACGTTTTCAAACAAAAAAAAAAACCCAAGAAAGTTCAGCTGCCTTTTGGAAAAAGCACCTTTGGGCAACTGCAGGCAGCTTAAACAATAAAATAAATGAAATACACAATAAAAAAATAGAGAATAAATATATCATTGCAGTTTTTATAAAACTGGAACCCTAAACCAAAGTACATCAGTGAGAACAATTTCTGTTAAACATCAAATGCTAGTTTGCTATTGACCATCTCGGATTCTCCACCTTTGGAGCAAAGTAGTATTTGTTTTCATGACTTTACTCTTCCAAAGAGGAATTATTTGGAAAAATTCTGAATACCTCTTAATAAAAAAAGCAGTGGCAAGGCTTCCCCAACAGTGATAACAGCACATCTCTATTTGGTAAATCGATAGAGAATGATTAACTTAGCAAATCTTCTAATTCAGTGGTTCTCAACCTGTGGGTCGGGACCCCATTTGGGGGTCGAACGACCATTTCACGGGGGTCGCCAAACAACGCAGTCCGCCATTTTTTCCCCTTTTCCTTAGCTGTGCTACTCCCTTTTATTCTATTGGCTTTTGAAAGCCAATAGAATAGACTCTCTTGAATAGAGTCTAATTCTATTGGCTTTCAAAAGCCAATAGGAATTGTCCAGGCTGTCTCTGCCTTGCTGAGCCCGCCAAAAGTCCCATTCTGCAAACGGTGCTGCACCAGTTGAGTAGTCCTCGACTTACGACCAGTTGAGTAGTCCTCGACTTACGACCGGTTGGTCAGAGCATTAAAAAGGTTGAGAACCACTGTCCTAAATCCTGTAAAAGGGGTCTTGAATCTGTTAACGTTGATTTTTGTGGGTTATTATTTGCAACTTGAATATTGTCCCTCTCTCTACAGTATGGCTATGCTCCAAAGGGCTCCTCTGTGATACTGTACAGTGATAAGAAATACCGGCATTACCAATTCTTCATTGCTCCTGATTGGCAAGGAGGAATTTACCCCTCGCCCACTATTGCTGGTTCCAGACCTGGATGCCTTATTGCAGCTTGCTGGGCTACCATGGTGCACTTGGGGGAACAAGGTTATGTGGAAGCCACCAGGAAGATCATCTCAACTACACGGTTTATCGTATCTGAGTATGTATATGATTTCCATTTATTCTCTATATTTTATGCTTCTCTTTCTTCTTCCTGGGTGCTCATTTCAGCATTCTTTGGCTGCTCTACAGTTTGTACTTTTGCAAGCATTAAATAGGAGCGGGTTCTTAGCTGTTATCCATATATGATACTCTCACACAATGGTGGATCACACAAAGCAATTAGTATATTAAGATGATGTGCATGAATAGAAATTATGCAAGGCAAACAGTAACATTAAGCTACTGGATTTTTTTGGGGGGGGGGAGAGGAAATAGTGCTGGAAAACCAGCCCTTTTTTGACCACAGAAAAAGACAACTCTTTACATGGCTCTCTGTTGGTGGATAGCAGAGAGAAGAGGCCGTATTGACTGAAATAATAGAAATTAGATATGTGCAGTTCGGAAGACTTTCATGCTTCTTCCTTCTTCCTTCTTTTTTCAAGACATCTTTCTTACTCAGAAGGAAGATGAGATTTGGAATATCTCTCAACAAAGCTCCATGAAATAATACTTTAATTAAAAGTGGAATTTTTAATCAAATATCAACTAATGATGTCTGCTAGGGGATTATATGGTACATTTGGACAGGACTGGGCAGTGTGGTGGCTCAGCAGTTAAGATGCTGGGCTTGTCGGCTGGAAAGCTGACAGCCCAGGTTTGAGACCCAAGTGCCACAAGATGGGGTGAGCTCCCATTCTCGCTCCAGCCTAGCAATTTGAAATCATGCAAATGCAAGTATATAAATAGCTACCACTTTGGTGGGAAGGTAAAACCATTCCATGACATCACTTCCACCACAAAACCGCAGAAACATCTTTGAACAGTGCTAGCTCAACGGCCTCGTAGAGACGAGCATCACCCCCTATTATTGCCAAAGACTACAGGAGTAAAATCTGCAGGGACTCCTTTACCTTTACCTTACTTTGGACAGGACTACATACACTGTGAGACTAATATTGTGGTGTTTACTTTCGGTTGTGTAATCAGATAACTCTATCTTAATAAACAAGAAGCAACATTTTTAGGGGAGGGTCACTGCCATGACTCTAGATTGGCATCACTACAAATGTCACATAAAGCAATATTTGATGAATCCCTTAATAAACTTTCTGCAGAGATTCATCTTCTGTTGGAAATAAAATTGCCCTCATCTTTAGATGTCACTGTTATTTCAGAAAAATGCAAATATGTATTGAGATTTTATTCTGGTCATATATTTTAGAGATTTCACGGAGATCTGTGGCCTTCCAGATACTATTGAACTAAAATTACCAATTTGCAGCAGCCCCAGTTAGCATAGCCAATAAGGAAGGATGTTAGGTGTTTGTAGTTCAGGAAACATCTGAAGGTTCATGCTGGGTATCTTTTGGGTAAACAACTTTCAGGTCGAGTTTTACACAAAGAATGCATAACCTCTTGTGTTTCTTGGGATTCTGAGCATTTTGAATTACAATTAACATCCTGTTCCTCAGGGCTTGTTTGGATAGGATTAAGAAATACTGCTTTGTGATTCTTGGTGTCCTTTCTTTGTATATATTCAGAAGATGTAGCTAGGAATCTGCTGCTACGCTATGGGATGAGGACTCTGAGTTCCATTTCTTTTTTCCTCTACAGTGTTTTTAACATATCTGGATCAATTATCCACGTATTCCCTTTTTTCTGATATATTGGAAATGGGTTTAGAAGCACTTTTGCCATGGAAGCTAAGTAAAAAAAAAAAAGGAAGAAAAACTTCTGAACTGCTTAAAACCAGAGAAGGGAATTCATGACTTGGAGAAGACAATTGGATCTCAGATTAAAATTATGAGATCACATTCAGATGTGGCCACTGCAATTAATTGTGGTCTCTTTTGTTGAAAACTCTTCATTTAAAGTCAAGTTGTTTTATAAAGTAATATTTCATGTTGCTTTGGACAATGTATTGTTTCCTTGTTCTGTTCTGTAGATACATACCAGAATACAGGTTTAGGCACATATTGTGTAAAGAAAGAAAATAATAATAATAATAATAATAATAATAATAATAATAATAATAATAATAATAATAATAATAAAAACAACCACTTTATCCTCAACCCTGCAATTCTCTCTGTTTAGAATAACTGATTCCTGGATTAAAAAGGGACAGCGGCTAAAATTACAACTTTTGATAATGGCTTTTAAGCAACATAAATTACAGCATTAAATATAATTAGAGGACCATAAACTACTAGATCAGTGATGGCGAACCTTTTAGAGACTGAGTGCCCAAAAACTGGCCCGCCCCCACTCCACCCCCTGCCCTGCCCCTGCCCCGCCTACCCGCAGGGCCACTCATTGTCTCCAGGTCCCACCGCAGTTCGCCCAGCAGCGCCATGGCAGCCACACCCTCTGCCTGTGCCCCGCAACATCAACTGTGCGCAATGGGACATGGGGGCAAAGTCTTGTCTACGCTGCTTGGCTGCCATGTCCTTGGCTGCAGTGCTCTGCGTGGGCCACGCTCGGGGGTGACTCTTCTCCAGGAGGGCTACTGGTGAGGGGGTCACGGGGTGAGGCAAGGCTGGGGCAACGGCATGTGTGCCCACAGTGAGGGCTCCGAGTGCCACCTCTGGCACCCGTGCCATAGGTTCGCCACCACTGGATTAGATGGAACACATCTTTAACATGTTTCTCTTTAAGGTTGCAGAAAATGGACCACATCAGTATCATAGGCAAACCAGAGGTGTCTGTCTTTGCTTTCAAGTCTGATTCATTTGACATTTACCAATTGTCAGCCCTGTTAATAGCCAGAGGATGGAATCTTAATATTTTACAGTTCCCTCGAAGGTGAGTTTCTGGTTTTTTTTCTCCATCACTTTCAGGTGGGGGAGGCAGAGCACTGATCAAGCACTTAAAATTCTCTCTCGGATTGAGCAGATTCATGGCAGATTTAGACCACTTGTCCCCCAGTGGCCAATCATAAGTCTATGGAAACCCACAAGGAGGAGTTCAAAATAAAACTTCCATATTTTGTTGCATTTCAGTAGCTGGAATTCAGCGATAAATTGCTTCTGATCTCGAGCTCATACACATCTGTCAAGCATATATATTTTCAAGAGCCTTAATCTGCCATAATCTGTCTTAATTTTTTACAATATATATATATATCCATAAAAAGTATTTTTAACATACTTTCAAGAGATTATGCTTATTCCAAGATATTTGGAGATGTTTTATATACAATTTGGGATTCCATTCTTTGGGATTTGGGATTCAGTTGTAGCCCAATTTCTTTTTTTCTGGAATGTGAACTTAATTCTATGAAAAAGTATGGTTTCAGGTCTACAGATCCAAAGATCACACCACATGTTCACTCAATATTTGTGTAAGTTGCTAACTAAGTTGATTGATACTATTTTATTAGCACTAGAATATACAATTTCTCAAATTTTCTTTCAAATGAGGGAATGAGCCGAGGTGGCGCAGCAGTTAGAGTGCAGTACTGCAGGCCACTTTAGCTGACTGTGTTCAGCAGGTCAGCGGTTCAAATCTCACCGGCTCAAGGTTGACTCAGCCTTCCATCCTTCCGGGGTAGGTTAAATGAGGACCCAGATTGTTGGGGGCAATGTAAATATATATATACATTGCTTACTGGTGTACACCGCTTAGAGAGTGCTTGCACTTAAAGTGGTATATAAGTCTCATAGATAGATAGATAGATAGATAGATAGATAGATAGATAGATAGATAGATAGATAGATAGATAGATAGATAGAAGGAGAACTCAGAAAATTTGCAGACAACACCAGGTGGCAGGAGTAGTCAACACCCCAGAAGATGGACTCAAGATCTAGATTTCGACAAGCTTAAACACTGGGCCCGATCTAACAAAATGAAATTCAATGATGAAAAAAGTAAGGTTCTACATTTAGGCAGGAAAAACCAAATGCAATAGTATAGTTGGTACCTGGCTCATTAGCAGTTACTACGAGAGGGATCTTGGATTACTAGTGGACAATCTCTTAAATATGAGCTAGCAATGTGCTGCAGCCATCAAAAAAGCCAATGCAATCCTAGGCTGCATTAACAGAGGGTTAGAATCAAGATTGTGTGAAGTGTTAGTACAGCTTTATAAGAGCTTGGTAAGACCACACTTGGAATCCTGCATCTAGTTTTGGTCACCACAATATAAAAAAGATGTTGAGACTTTGGAATAGTGTAGAGAAGAGCAACAAAGATGATTAGGCGGCTGGAGGCTAAAAGATATGAAGAACGGTTGCAGGAATTGGGTATGAGTACTCTAGTGAAAAGAAGGACTAGGGGCAACGATAGCAGTATTCCAATATTTGAGGGGCTGCCACAAAGAAGGAGGGGTCAACCTATTTTCCAAAGCATCAGAAGGCAAGACAAAAAACAATGGATGGAAACTAATTAAGGAGAGAAGTAACCTAGAACTAAGGAGAAATTTCCTGATAGTGAGAACAATAAACCAGTGGAATGGCTTTCCTTCACAAGTTGTGGATGCTCCATCACTGGAGGCTTTTAAAAAGAGATTGGACAACCATTTGTCAGAAATGATAGGATCTCCTGTTTGAGCAGGAGTTTGGACTAGAAGACCCTCAAGGTCCCTTCCAACTCTTATTCTGTTCTGTTATTCTGTTAAATTTGACTTTCATGATTAAAGAATAAAATCACAATCTTATTTTCTGTCTTGTGGGTGCAGTGATAATTACAAAGAGGTAAAAGGATATATATATTTTTTCCCCACACTCAGGCAAAAGATTTGCTTCATATTTTTAGATTTTATTTTTCACAGCTGTTAAAAAATTAGCCTTTGCCCCTTTCCAAAGAAAATTCCTAGTTCTGGCCATTTTTTAAGATCTAAAATTAGATTAGATCTTGGATTAGAAAATAACTATTTAGAAGAAGCCCTGTCATAAAGAGCTTTTGTACTCTTCTCAATTATTTGAAAGTATATATAAATACCTCAGTTCAGCCAAAATAATTACTAATCTGTTAGTTAATACTTTACATCCTAGGGGTCTTTCTTTGCATCATCAAAATTAAATTAGATTACTTTTTGAATTATTTTAAGTTTGCAATTCTAATCTGTCATAATTTCATCTGTGAAAGATTATTTTAAGCATGATTGTTGTTATTAGCAAAAAAGAAGAAAACTTGACATTTTCTCAACCACCCCACGCAAAACAAGCCAACCCTGAACACATTTTGTCTTCAACAACTATCTGATTGATTGGAGTAAATGAACTCCAATCCTACCTAAAACAAAACCATAGTTTGCACTCAAATCTCCCTGGAGGAAAGAACTGGAAAAGCCATTTGGTTTTTTCATCATTTTCCTCCGATTTTATTTAATTGCTAACACATAAGTAATGAATGTTTGCTAAATTGCCAAATAGTTAAAAAACTGGCGGATGTTTTGAAGAATATAATAGTTGGGGAAATGGGAGCCGAGATGTTTCTTTTGAACCTTAAATTTGAAATATCTGCATCTTCTTAATTATGAGGAATATGAGATTTTCTGCAGATTTGGTGTTTGATGACACAAAATGGTGCAAAAGTGTGGTGTGACTTTAGGGGGTAATAGGACTGTGTTAGTCTTGGAGGATGTCATTGATCCCCTAATCATGTCATTTACACATTTTTGGAATGATCCAAAACAGAGGCATGAAATAATACAAAACTTTAGTGCCACTGTTAGATGAATATAGCAGTGTAGGTTTTAGGGATTTCCTCCAAAATCCAGTTTGAAATGTCTGCAACCCTACTTGTAGAAGTTCAAAAATTGGTAACAAAAAAGGTAGTCCTCAAGTTATAACCATAATAGAGCCTGCTGTAGGTTAACCTGATTTTACAACCTTTTTAGCACTGGTCGTTAAGTAAACATTGCACTTATTAAATGAACATTGCAGTCATTAAGAGCACTCAATGTTTGCTATGGAACAGTTCTTCTGAGAACTGGAAGTGCCAATTTTTGGCAAAACTATTGCAAAGCACAGTCACGTGACCACGAGATGCTACAAAGAGCCATAAATGCAGCCATTTTGCTCAGTGCCTGAAGTTTGGGCACATGACTGTTGGGAGATTGGAACTTTAAATCTGGGTCATAAGTTGCTCAAAAGTAGGCCTGTTGAACTTTGAAGGTTCTCTTAAGCTAGAGTTCCCCAACGTTTCTAGCTTCGTGGATTGGGGGCAGGTCCATTTGCACAAGTGGTGTGCATGCACGCCTGCCTACACAAGGAAGGATGCGCATGCTCGTTGGCCGTTTTCATGGCCCAGTTTCAAACCCCTCATGGCCCATTAGTGGGCTGCGGCCCGCAGGTTGGGGACCCCTGTCTTAAGCAACCTGTCATAAGTTGAGGACTACCTTTATATTGAACTCGGTGGCAGACTAATTTCAGTTTAATTTTAAAGCCAGTTCATTTTCAAAGGTATTGAAAGAGAATTGGCTTTAGAAATTATTTCAAGTGAGAATATTATTATTAAGAAGTTCTTGTGAATGGCGTATTATGACACCTGTTGAGAATAGCTAAGAGATATTTACGAATGGCTTGTGTTCAATTGTACAGTCATCTCCAGCAGTCTGCAGCTTCTTTCTGACTTCCCCTAACTCACTGAAAACTCAACAAAAGATACAAAGAATTCGGGTATTGTGCTTTTTTAACAACAGTGCTATTAGTTTACCACTTATTCTTAAGAAATAATTGATAAGAAATTGTATCTCCTCCCACTTTACCTATAAATTTGTTGAAAAACTATGAAATTTCCTTTGTAGCCAACCTTGGCTAAGATGTTAAGATTACATGAAGTAAAACAGGCTTTCCAGAAAGCTGAAATTATAGTATAATCATGTAGCAGGCCAATTATGTTTTTATTTAAAATCTACACAGGGCCTCTGTGTAATTTGCATAATAAATGCAGAAAAAATTACTCTCTATAGAACGTACCAACTTTATTATAATACAGGAAAGAAATATGGTAAGCAATAACTTAGTGGGTGATCAGATGCTGAAAAAATAGGAAACCAGCACCTTCAGTCTATTTGTAATAGGAATGTCATATGTAGCTACTAAATTAACATTTCTCATGAATTTTCCAGTTCTGGATAGGGTATGATCAGGAAACAAAATGTTCTGATTGTGAAGAAAAGTTAACACTTTATCTTTCTCCATCTCTTTTCAAGCATTCATTTTTGCTTAACACTGCTACAAACAGAACCTGGGGTGGCTGAACAAATGGTGGAGGATGTCAGAGAGTGTGTCTCAGAGATCATGAAGAATCCAAAGGAAAAGATCACTGGATTGGTAAAGGCAATTTTGCATTTTTTGTTTTTGAAGATTGCTGTTATGGAAAAAGAGAGACAAGACAGTGGCGCTTAACAGTTGGTAGAAAGCAAATCAGAAAATAGGACTTAAATCTGGTTGGGACTATAGCCTGACAATTCAAATTGGAAGTTTGGGGACATTTCTAAGTTTACACCCAAGATCCTGTAATACTTATATTTCAGCCATTGGCCGAGTATTTTTATTTAGTTGAGGCTGGTGAGTCTATTAGATTCATTCAAAGAGATGTCAGGTTAAACGGTAATTCATACATTTCTTAATTCCACCTTAATTAGTTTACTAATTAATTGCACTGCATTTACTTCGGCTTATTGTTGAATAGGTCCAGTGAGAACTAGGCCATTGACCAGAACTAGTTAGGAAGCATAATATTTCTTTGCTTAGCACAGTTACTTGCTCTGCCCTTCTCTTCCAGGTACAAATCATGGAATTGATTAAAGCAGGGGTGTCAAACTCGCAACGTCACGTGATGTGTCGCGACGTATTGCAACTTTTCCCCCATTGCCGGAGCTGGGGTGGGCGTGGTTTTGGTATGACGCATCCGGCCTGCGGGTGGACAGTTTGACACCCCTGGATTAAAGAAATAAATTATTTGAAAATAAACTAGTTGGGGAACTTCCTTCTCTAGCATTAGTTTAGGTTAGTGTGGAGGTCTTTCAAAGAGGTCTTCTCTGGGTGTACTACCATCTGGTGTGTACTGGATGGAAATTCAGTAAATTCTGTCTGTGCATAAGGATTTTACTTGTTATGTTCTGTTTTTATGTTTCAGCTTTCTTTAGAATTTCTGTAGGTGGTCTGCCTTTACTGCACAACCTTTTATACCTAGGCATTTGATAATTAAGATAATCTGCTCTATTTTAAAGTTTTTTTCCCCAATTTTTAAATGGGCTTTCATTTTAATCTGCTCCTGATTTTTATATGGCTTGCGGGCTTGTGATTGCTTATTTCATAAGCACTGGATTTTATCGTTAGCTACTTCCGGCATTATTAATGCAAATACAAGTAACATGTTTCAGAAGTAATGCATGGAATAAATCTTAGCTGATCATTGTGTTTTTGTTTCAATTTGTAGAGTGCAATCTATGGTATGGCACAAGTCATTCCTGACAGAAACCTAGTTTCAGAAATTGCTGGTGGTTATTTGGACAGCCTCTACAGCACAGATTCTTTGACTGATACGCACATGAATGGTTCTCCAAACTGATTTTTAGTCATATATTTCAACTGTTGGATGATGACACACTAAACAATTCAAAGGAAAGATAATATCACTTGGAAGTGTTTCTTCTGCAGATACAGCTCACAAGGCAGCTTGATCTGTTGACATAACATTCCCTCTTAAACACAGGTTCAACCCCTAGCTTAGATTGGCTGTTCAGATCTGTGGAACTTCAGGAATACGCTCTCTCTCTCTTCTTTAACCTTTGATAATTATTTGTATTTCTTATGATGACTCACTGCTGCTTCTAGTTGTCCAAGAAACAGCAGGCTTAAGGGCAATATAAGTCTGTTCCATCATTGTTCATGCTCAGGTGTTTTGAATTACTTTAGTGGATACAGTTCTCTTGGTTGTTGTTCACACTGAGCAGTGAATTCGACAAAAGGTTGCACATAAACATCCTTCACAGATGATAGGATAAAGTCAGGGTGAGTGTTTAGTTCACTCTGTGGGAATTTGCTCTGAATGAGAGGAAATGATCAGAGGAAAATAAGGTATACTTCCTTCTTTCCTTGTACCTTCTGCTTTTCTCTTTCCCTAGAATTTTTTTTTTACTGTGACATCCTTCCTCCCCCCCCCCTGTATTTGAGCCATGGGGATCCATGAAGGTACTAAGGATAAAACGGTTCTTCCATATATAGGGGCTTTTGTCCTAGTTTCTGTGTTACTACAATAGGAGAAAGCAGATTGTATTTTTCAGAATCACTGAGAAGTTCAGCTTCTTCAATTGTTCCAGTTCCTAGTTCTGCCATTTTGTTAAGCGCCTTTATGGACTCAGAGAACCAGTGACTCAGAATGTAATTATTTGTAGGACCCAGAGCTCCTTTTCAAGTGTTGCACTGATTTATCAGACACATTCTCAAGAGAGCACACATAGATTTGCCTTAAATGCTGAGAGCATCTCCACTCAGAAGCCAAGCAGATGATCAAATCAACAGATGATCACCTGCTTTATGGTACTATATTGAAAATAACCTCAATCTCAGGTATCATATACTCATCTTCAGTGTTTCATGATATCTCAGCTCAGTCCACCTGTAGATAGCACTTTGCAACTGTGATGGGGATACCTGTGGTCTAGAAGCTTGACCTCTAATGGATTAGGGATATTGTTTGTTTCCCATTGTTTAGTTTGCTTCTAAAAATAACTGTGGCTCCAGTGGGCCATTCATGGGCCAAATGGCAGACACATTAACTTTTTATTCGAAGGCTTGAAGTGTAAAGCTAGGTTCACCAGCCTAGTTTTACAGAGGTGAATGGAGAACAGTTCCATTCAAACTTTCTATATAGATTAGTTTGCTAGATCAGTCACGGTCCCTTTACTTTTTGTCAGCAGTAGTTCACTGAGAAAAAAACATAGAATCAAGTCTTTTAGTGGTATAGATTCATATTCCTTTCAGTTATTATTGTACAATCCTTTGTAACTTCATGAATTCAGGGTCTATGTTATGTGAATCTTTGGATTAATCATTTATCTCTTCCTGGCCATCTTTCTATTTCAGTTTTGAATGGAGTGAATACAAAATAACTTAATGGTTAATTGCCTGATGTATGTGTATTGACTAGTTTGAACAAATACGGTTTCAAATACATTAAAAAAGGAAAACTCGATTGCATCCCTCGCACATATGTAATTTAATGAACTGTTTTCATTCATGTTCTAGAACAGAATGTTAATTTTGTAAGATCTTAATTTCAGCTTAATACTGATACATGTTCAAAACTGCTTTGTTTCAATACTTAACCCATGTATACTTTCTCATGCATCTTGTACATGTTTTCGGATTTAAAATAAATGTTATTTTCTTCCTCAACTTCCAAGTTTAAAACAATTGGAAGGTAGCTTTTTCCTGTCTAAGAGTTTATTGGAAAGCCAACCTCATCGGTCAAGGTTGCATTCACCACCAAGATGATTACGACCTCCATGTCTGAAATTTCTTGCAAGCTAGGGGGCATCGAGATAGTTAAAAAAAAATCAAGGTGGCAATAAAAGAACTTATCAAAGTTCTTTTATTGTGGCAATTTTACTTCCCTTCACTTGCAGCTCTCAAGAACTTTGGAGTAATTTCAATTATGATGAAATCCATTATTGTACAAGGATGATGAATGTAAAAAGAGGGCATGGCAGAGACACAGCTGCTATCTTGAATTCTTTCAAGCCCACCACACCCAATGGATGAGCCTGTCGCATGCTATCAGATATGTTTACAAATGAAAATCTACTTAACTTTCTTTAAAAAATATTCACTGACAGAATGTGTGAGAGATTTTAATTTATCTTCGGCTGTACTAGCCTAAGCTAAACTGGGTGTGGTTTTGCAATGCATGATGGGTAAAGCTATCCTAAGGAAGAAAAACAACCATGACTTGCAATCTGTAATTTATAGGCTTCTACATCACCCATCCAAAGTTGTGTCTACCTTGGTTTAAAATAAGATTAACCAATTCCAGCATTTCCCTGTCTACCCCTTTCATGAAGTCAAGCAATACAAGAAACAGTGCTGAAGAGAAATACACAGGGAAAGAATTTCCAATTCTTTGTGTAAGAGTAGGCTTTATTAAAGCTGACAACCACAAGCAACTTCTCCTGCACCTACTTAATACTGCTAAGCAGGGTTACAGACTAAACAACCCTAAAGACAGATATTGACACAAGACAGATTTATAATGGATAACAAATGAATTCACAGCGCTGGTGCCTATTGAAATGTGTGACCATACAGTAAGCAAGTATGAAGCTTCTACAAAAAGATGGGGTCTCCCATATTAACTGGATACGGAGGTTAGATTACATTTGTCATGATGCTTTCTGACAAGTTAAGATGCAGAAGCTACCTTTACAGACAAAGATGGGGTGAGCACTTTAGGCTAGTGTGTTTGCTACTTGCTCTATAAAACTGGCCAAGTTGATGTCCCGTTCAGATAAGCCAGCACACTCGTGTGTGCTTAAGGTTATATGAACCTGAAAGAAACAAATGCCTAATTAGTAAGCAGTTATGAGAATACATAGCAGCATAGCTGCAAGTACTTAAAAGAGCTAAAAATCAATTTATTAATGATAAATGTTTTTCGTGTCTTCATTCACTGCTGGCCTCAGTGCTTATCAGTGAAATTTAAAACAGTCCCATCAGGATTAGGGAAGTCAAGTCACTTTGGTGTAGAAGAGGGGTTTTTTTTTAAAAGAGTTACACTGCAGTTGCTAGATTGAGCCACTACTACAACCTCCTTCCATATCAACTGAGTGCCAATCTATAATTCACATCCCTCTCCTCTCCTTGCTGCATTATAAGGCTGGTAGTTGCTTCATCGTATTTATCATCATATCAGAATAAGCACTTCTGATAAGGCTTAAATAGCCCCCTCCCCCACCAATTTGCACAAATATAATCTCTGGTACAGGTTTGGACAGCTAGAAAGGTGCAAACACTATGGATTTAATGGACTTATGCAGTTAAATAACTTTTATCTAAGCTTGAACAGCGAACCAGTTTGGGGGTGTGGTGTGGTAAAAGATCAAGACCAGACTTTGAGCCAGTCACCCTTTCAGACCTAGGAATAAGGCAATGGAAAACTTCCAAGCAACATTACCAGGAAAACTGCAAGAATGACTCAGGCAAAAAAAAAGGGGTTGAACAACTCCTTGTCTCTTACTTTGTTGTAAACATTAAACCATTCAGGATGATGATCCAGTTTTTCTGCTTGTAGAGCTACTCTGGTCATAAATCCAAAGGCCTGCTCAAAAGATGAAAGAGGGTTTTAGAAAAAGACAAGGGCAGAAGAGAAACTCCACAGAGACTCCACTACTAAGACATATAAGGTAGTTGTTAGTATTGCCACCACTGAAAAAAACGCAAATCACACAAGGGCCTCTCAGTATACCTCAGTGCACTCTATCAGGACAGCATTTAGTTTCTCCTGTTTGTGCAAAAAATGCAGAATGAGACAGACTGAAGGAAGCCCCCAACTTAACTTGGCCATTGATGTGGGTGGCTGGAAGTTTAGTTCAATAATATCTGCAGGCCTACTAATGCAGGAATTGATCCAGGTAGTCCTCAACTTTAGATCACTTATTCAGCAAGTTTGAAGTTCCAGCAGCACTGAATGGTGATTATGAGCAGTCCTTGGGTTCTGATGATCCCAGCATACCCTCATATGATTGAGATCTGGATACTTACACTTACGATCGGTTGCAGTCAGTGGTGGGATTCAGCCAGTTCGCACCACTTCGGCAGAACCGGTAGCTAATTTTTTGTTGCCCAGGCCCAGAATGGACCTCCGGAAGCGACATTCACACAGAGAACCGGTTGTTCACCTATTTTAATCCCACCATTGGTTGCAGTGCTCCGTGATGGCATGATTACCTTTCACCCTGTCTTCCCCAGAAGTCAATTGTGCAAAATTAATACTCTTTCAAAAGGTTGCTAATTCTTAAATTAATGGAAGAAATGGTTTTTAAAAATTAAAGCCCCTTAAGAATTTGAAGTAGCAGTATCATATTGCTTGGAATAGCCAATTTCATCTAATGCAGGGGTTTCAAACTTGGCCCTTTTATGATTTGTGGACTTCAACTCCCAGAATTCTTCAGCCAGCATGCCTGGCTGAGGAATTCTGGGAGTTGAAGTCCACAAGTCATAAAAGGGCCAAGTTTGAAGACTCCTGATCTAGTGCTTAAGGTACCAGGCTAGAAACCAGGCATCTCTGAGTTCTTGTCCCACCTTAGGCATCAAAGCTAGCTGGGTGACTTTGGGCCAGTCATTCTCACTCAGCCCAACCTACCTCCCAGGTTTGTTGTGGGGAAAATAGGAGGGAGAAGCAGTATTAAGTATGTTCATTGCCTTGAGTTACTTATTTAAAAAGAGATGTGATACAAATAAATAAAATTTGTGGTGTAATCCAGAAATGATCAAATCGGTGGTAAAATTCTTTTTTAATGAATGAGAAAGGTTTGTTCTGCTAGATTGAAATGTTTGTTTTTAATGTGCAGTTTTGTGGGGATCTGCTTGATTCTGGCTTAAATGTAAGTAGAATCTGTTGGCAAGAGTGAGGCTTCTTAGGATTGCAGTTGGAACGGGGAGGAGTTCAGTCCTTTTCTTCCCCTCTCCAAAGGAAAATTCACGCTATGCAGTTATTACAACCAGTAGCAGAAACTCTCTAATGCAGGGGTAGGCAACCTTGGCTCTTTTATGACTCGTGGACTTCAACTCCCAGAATTCCTGAGCCAACAATGGCTCAGCTTGGAAACCTCTCCCTTTCCCCTCAGCATGGCTGGCTCAGGAATTCTGGGAGTTGAAGTCTACAAGTCACAAAAGAGCCAAGGTTGCCTACCCCTGTTCTAATGCATGCAAACAAGTAAGTGATGGGACTGCTGGACACCAGCAGATGTTTGAGTTGGCCTTTCCCTGACAAGCATGGCATAAAAAAGTAAATCCATGCATCTTTCTTGATTCTAATCATTGGTATCCTCTCCAGCCTTTTGGGATGGAGTGGAAAAATAATTTTTGGTGGGACCTGAGGCTATTTGCATTTGAATCCAAGGAACATTCAGACAGCAAAGGTAGTTGGATTTCAGGACCACTCTTTGCAGCTCCTGACTCTACAAAGCTATTGTAGCACCAACAGGCAGAGCTATGCTCCCTTTCTTCTACCGCAGGAAAGCCGAAGCAGTCTTGGTGTCCCACATAAAGAATGTCTATGGAGATTCTCAATCATCCAGGTCATGGCTGTCCCAAAGGTATTCTGAAGAAGCTTCTTAGATGAGAAGTGAAACCTTTTCAAACAAAAAAACCCAAGAAAGTCCAGTTGCCTTTTGAAAAAAGCACCTTTGGGACTACATGAAGAGGCACCAGCAAGTATTAGCCCACGGATCCACTTACACATGTCAAGAGTTGCTACACTGCAAGGTTAGGAACTGAGTATCTTTGCAGCTTGTCGTGTCCTGGGATTTGCATTTTAGCTGAGCCTGCTGTTAATCAGTGTAGAGCTGCACATTTGGATATTGTTCCCAACTCAAGCATAAGCCTGATTTTCTTGAAATAAAACATTGATAAGTGCTTTTGTACCCGATTAAAGTCCTTAAAATGGAACTCCTTGTAGATAGCATCTCTGCCTTCCACCTCATTCCATCCTACTGCTCTGAGATTTGGCAGGAGCTGTTCTCTCTCTTCGCCACTCAGACGGTGGGCCTTTCCTGCCTAGGAGAAAATGGAGAAAGCATCTGGATAAACTTTCTCTGAGCATGAACACGTCTACGAAGAAGCTATTTTCAGATCAATCTAGAGCATCAGATCTAGACGATCTTTTAAAATTCTTAAGGAGTCAATCTCGTGAATAGCTACTTAGAGAAATGTAGAGCACTCCAAGCTTACAGCACTCCAACATTCCATGACTGGCTTGGGAAGATGATGGGAGGTGTAGTCCAACACATAGAGAAGGTTGGGCTGCACCAGTGCTGACCACATGCATGTTGCACATGACATCTTGGCCCAATTTTGCTGCATCCAACTCTTGTTCAAGGTATATGCAGGTTGTGGGAAAGTTCAGCAAATTAAAGGGGTGCGCTCCTTTGCTGACATGACTCAAATTGCTGAATTCCTATTTAGGTGGAATGTATGTCCCCTTTTGCTTAGGTATCCATTTGCGTTATTATCCGTAACATTTATTATAAGCTAGAAAATAAGCAGTTTGTATTCTGGGGGAGAACAATATATCCAAGAAGGTTTGTGTCAGTACTAAAATCATTCCATAATGTACAGTTCTTATATTGGAATCATTTATTATGTGCCAGACCACATTGCTGGGGATCTCTTAATGACATAAACACTACCATTAATTTGATGGCAAATATGTCATTCAATACAGGTGGTCCGCGACTTGCCACCACAATTAGAACCAGAATTTTGGCTGCTAAGCATGATGGTTGTTAAGAGAATCACATTCAATTTTACTACCTTTTCGCTGCAGTTAAGTGAATCACTGCAGCTGTTAAGTGAATCCAGCTTCCCTCATTGACTCTGCCTGTTAGAAGCCAGCTGGGAAGGTCCCAGGTTGTGATCACATGATTCCAGGACACTACAGCCGTGGTAGATACATGCTGGCTGTCAACCACCGAGATTTTTGTTCACTTGACTGAGGATGCTCCAACAGCCATAAGTGCAAGCATTTGTTATGAGTCCATTTTTTCCAGTGCTGTTGTAACTTTGAATGGCTGCTTAACAAATGGTTGTAAATCAAGGATTACCTGAAGAACAAAGGTCCCCAACCTTTTGGGCACCAGGGACTGGTTCTGTGGAGAGAGGTTTTTCCGCAGACCAGAGGGGGTGTGGTTTTGCATGCTGCCTGCATCTTGCGCGTGGGGCTTTGTCTGTGTGGCCAGGTTGCTGGCATGCCATGGCCCAGTAATGTTCCACGGACGGGGTTGGGGACGCCTGCTGTAGAATGTTTAAAGCTGCCTCACAGCAGAAAAATTTGACTAGCCATTTTTCATTGCTCAATTCTACCCACTTTATGGCCATGCTAAATTCTAACTCCGAAACCCATGATTAATAGCTAGGATAATTTACACTGATAATTTACACAGTTTGGAAGTTGGCTGCAGTGGACTTGGGTGTTAAAAATAAAACTTTTATTAAAAGCAGTGTGCTCCTCCCAGAGAAATGGTTAACTAGAAGACACCCACGTTTGTATCAAAGAGAAACCAAATCTTAATAAGCAGCTTCTTTCCTAGTTAATGGTTAAAGGCTATTGCATCATTAATCGCTGTCCTTTAAACTTTTAGGGATACTGGGAGGAACACAGGGTGACAAATAGGAGCATGCCAGCAGCTCCTACTGTTTTCCATACTGTCAGTTTGAAGGACAATTGTGCAACAGTTTTTGATGAATGCTAAGGCAAAGCAAAGAAAAAGATCGTAGGGAGAGTAATTTGTTCTGGATCCAACTCAGAATTTTGCGTTGGAGGATTCTAGAGCTGAGAATCTCCAGCTAAAAAGATTTATTCCCATCTTAGTCTTTGTAGCCGGCACAGATTCATTCTACCATAACCCACCTATCAAAATAATTGTGTATGTGCATACGATATCGTATTATATTACAGGTAGTCCTCGACTTAACACTTCATTTAGTGACCATTCGAAGCTACAACCGCACTGAGAAAAGTGACTTAAGATCCCTTTTCATACTTTTGACCATTGCAGCCTCCCCGTGGTCATGTGATTTATATTCAGATGCTTGACAACTGCTTCATACTTATGACAGTTGCTGGGTCCTGGGGTCATGGGATCACCTTTTGTCACCTTCTGACAAGCAAAGTTAATGGAAAAGCCAGATTCGCTTAACCACCAGCAATAATTCGCTTAACAAATGAGGCAAGAAAAGCCGTAAAATGGGGCAAAACTCATTTTAGAAATTTCTCACTTAGCAACATGAATTTTGGGCTCAGTTGTGTATGTGTATGTTATACTATATGATGTGTATGTGTATGTTATACTATATGTTGTGTATGTGTATGTTATACTATATGATATATATCATATCAATTATATAATGTCATGTTATATTTAATATCTTTAATATAACACAACATAAATATGGTTTCAAAGGGATAGTAAGACACCAATAAGCATTTGGAACATCTGTAGACTGCTTTATTTAGAGCAGGGGTCTGCAACCTTGACAACTTTTAAGGCTTGTGGACTTCAGCTCCCAGAATTCCTCAGCCAGCTAGCTGGCTGAGGAATTCTGGGAGCTGAAGTCCACGAGTCTTAAAAGTTGTCAAGGTTGCAGACACCTGATTTAGAGCAATGCATAATTCTAGTGAAGAAGCTACATTCACAATTCTCGGAGAAGGCCCCTGTGGAAACTTTTATTGATCGATAGTATCCTACAAAATATCCTGTGAGTTCCCAAAAGAATTCCCTGCATGTTTCTCCTAAAACTTCACTTTCATCATTCTTAGGGATGCTACCTGCAAGCACTTCAGCAAACTGAAACCATACTGAGTAAACACTGCACAGCACAATAAACCTCCAGCCACTGCCCTTTTACTGAGATCACCTGATAAACTTGTGTTCCTGGTATCTTAGCGACACACTGATAAGGCTTTTGGAAAAATGAGACAGACAAGGTTTATGTCCGCTTGTAATCTCGCCCACGCTTTTATTACTGGATAACTAAAAGCGAGGCAATGAAAAAAACAAAAAACCCTGGAAAGTTAATATTATAAAAATGGATTTCAGGCTAAATCGTGCTCAGCATAAGACTGAAGTCAAGGCATTCTAGATTTCACATAACCAGCCGTGTCATCTTATCTTTGCACATATTAAATGCTGCATTTTTTTTCTTCAGCTAGGTTTGGTTAAATTAGTTTTATTAATTTTAAAGCAGTTTAATACAGGTAGTCTTTGACTTAACAACCGTTCATTTAGCGACCATCTGAAGTTACAGCACTGAAAAAAACGATCTACAACCAGTTATGACCATCGCAGCACCCACCCACCACTCTCATCGGATCAAAAATTGGGCACTAGGCAAGTGGCTTGTATTGATGATGGTTATTCATCTAGGGGGCTTTGTGATCAGCATCTGTGACCTTCCCACCTGGCTTCTGACGAGCAAAGTCACGGGGGGAGGGGGAGGGGGGAAGCTGGATTCACTTAATGCAGGGGTCTTCAAACTTGGCAGCTTTTAAGACTTGTGGACTTCAACTCCCAGAATTCCTCAGCCAGCCCTCCACAAGTCTTAAAGTTGCCAAGTTTCAAGACCTCTGCCTTAATAGATGCAGTGATTCACTTAACTTAAAAAAAAAAAAGTAGTAAAATTGGATGCGATTCTCTTAACAACTGCCATGCTTAGCATGATTCACTTAAAAATTGTGGCAAAAAGATCATAAAATAAGATGAGACTCACTTAACAACTGCCTTGCTTTGCAATGGAAATTCTGCCCCGATTGTAGCTGTAAGTCAAGGACTACATTTTAATCTTTCTAGTAAGCTTCCCTATTAGGAGAACGAGTTAAGTGCAGGAGTGAAATTGCATCACTGTTTTTCAAGGCTGTAGGCTGGTCCATGATAGCACTTAGCAATAGCACTTAGATCAGGGGTCTTCAAACTTGGCCCTTTTATGACTTGTGGACTTCAACTCCCAGAATTCCTCAGCATGCCTGGCTGAGGAATTCTGGGAGTTGAAGTCCACTAGTCACAAAAGGGCCAAGTCTGAAGACCTCTGACTTAGATTTATATACTGCTTCACAGTGCTTTACAGACCTTCCTGAGCGGTTTACACAATCAGCATATTGTTCCCCCAGCAACCTGGGTCCTCATTTTACTGACTTGGAAAGATGGAAGGCTGGGTCAACCTTGAGCCAGTGAGAATCGAACTGCTGAACTGCAGGCAGCTGGCAGTCAGAAGTAGCCTGCAGTACTCCATTCTAACCACCGCGCCACCACGGCTCATGATCAGGATGGATAAATTAGGAATGAAAAAAACCGATTTAATTTTTTCAAAACATGAATAATCTTTCTATACAATACAAAAAAATGATTTTAAAGGGAGGGTTCCAAGTTCATTCAAGGTAAACATCCTAGATAGTTATCGGGCCAGCAAGTCTGTTACTCGGTGTCGACCAAAGACCAAATTGCACTGGCTGTGCTGGGTGCTGTTTCCAGCTTTGTGGACCGGCGGGGGTGGGGAAGGGGATGGTTCTGCACAAGCGGCTGGCAAACACCCATGTGTACAGCTCCATTTGTGTGAGTGGCATGTATATGCGCCTGCCCCTCATGCAAATGGAACGTGTGCACGTGCTTGCCCACTGCTCGCGCAAGTGAGGATGTGTGTGCACGCTCGCCGGCAGTTTCCGTGACCTGGTTGCAAAGTGGGCTGTAGCTCATAGGCTGAGGACCCCTGGTCCAACATACCTGGAAGGCACCACCAAGACTGCATATAAACTTGGACTAGGAACAGAAGCCATGCACCCTCAATGGGTAAAGCTCCCATTCTGGGCTGCTAAGCCAACTGCTGTGATCAGATTTCCACAAGTCCTAGTTCAGCAAAGAACAGTATATAGGGTCTCCTGCTTGATCAGGGGGTTGGATTAGAAGACCTCCAAGGTCCCTTCCGACTATTGTTATTCCATCCAAGGCTGTCCCACAATTCTCCATACAGCACTAACAATGATGGAAATTCCATTTCTTTTCTGGATATGAAGGGTTTTCTGGCTGCTATTATTTGCTTGCCATTACTTGCCTAGCCCACTATCCCTTGACAAGCCTACATCCTTCTCACCAAGTTGCCAATCCCTGATCTCAGAAATGTAGTTAACAGCATTTGATTCATGTGGGGTTCAAAGTGAGTCTGTTTGCAGATTCAAAGGTCATCACAAAACTTGCTTTATGCTCCCTAATAGCCACAACCTTGTTTTCCCCACCAATCTAATCCAGCCGCATTTCCCTGGTTAAGATTTCATAAAAAAAAAAAAGTCTGAAACATCTCACCATATGTGCCTTTGATTACAACACATGCCACTAAATATTGCCAGATGTTTAAAAGAACATGCGCAAACAATTACAGCAAGCTGCAGAAAATAGTTAAGCAGGGAAGAGATCAGTTCAAGACTGGGTAAAGTTTTCCAAGTTTCCAGACCTGGGAGAAAAGCAACAGAGAGGCCCAGAACTTCTGTGCTTGCATCCAGGAGAAAGCAACTGGAAATTTACCCAAGGTATAGCAATTCCTTTCTGCCTTCAGAGGGAGCAACATTAATGTTCCCCATCTCCCTTAAACTCTTTAAGTCTGAACATATCTCCGCCTCCCACATCCTAGAAAACAGCAGGTTTCTTCCTGGAAGCTTTATTATTATTATTATTATTATTATTATTATTATTATTATTATTATTATTATTATTGTTGTTGTTGTTGTTGTTGTTGTTGTTGTTATTATTATTATTATTATTATTATTATTATTATTATTATTATTATTGATCATTGCACAGTCAGCCAGATGTTCAGACTGGATTTGGCATTCTGTCTACGTATTGAGTCTATTAATAATAATAATAATAATAATAATATAATAATCATCATCATCATCATCTAGACCTGCCTAATACAATTTTAATTCCTAATCCTTTATTCTTTTCTCCAGCCATTGATAAAATAAGTCCCAAGTCTGATAGTATTGTTTCTTCTTTTTCTTTCAACTTCATAGTAAGTTTGTCCATTTCCGCACATTCTAGTATTTTTTTTAATTATTTCTTCCTCTGATGGTATTTCTTCATTTTTCCAATATTGTACAAATATAATTCTTGCCGCTGTTATCACATATAAAATCAAATATATACTTTATCAATCTTTTCTGGCATAATACCTAATTAAAAAAAAAGTTCAGGTTTAAAATCCACATGTTTTCCCAACATCTTTTCTAGCCAAGTATGTATTTTTGTCCAGTACCTCTTTGCTTCAACACATGTCCACCATGCATGATAATAAGTACCTGACTTTATGTTTCCATTAGCGAATGATAAACTCAGACAACACGTTGTTGAATAAGTACTATTGAATTGTATGGAAAAAATTATAACAATTCCACAAAAAAACAAAACAAAAAAAACCCCTATCTGCCTGCCAAATTAAATCTCTTTGGTTAGACTAAAGGCGGCTGCAATTTGATAGGACGCCTCCCGGTGCGCTTTCCACACTTGCTAGTGCGCCCTCCCTCCCTCCTGCTTTGCCGGAATAAGGTCGTAGTTGGAGATGCTCTTCCAAGAGACCTCATGAAACCTACGCAGCGAGAGACAGATCGAGACAGAGGCCAGACAGATAACAGACAGACAGCAAGCAGGGCAAACGCGATCTCAACCACTTTGCCTTCGCCGTGCTGGGCTCGGAGTAAGAATTAATCGACAGCTGCTAACATTCTCCCCCCCCCCTCGCCGCCCAGCCCAACATTCTCCCCCCAGCCCCAGTTCAGCTCAACGCCAGTTCCTCTACCGGCCGGGGGTGAGTTGTAACTCCTACCACCACCACCCCCGCAGCCCCGCCAGCGATCCTCGGAACTCACCATACTGGCAATTGCGGAGCGCAAAAGCAAGAAGCGCCGGGTCGGCCGGTGATTTCCAGCACAACTCCGGAGACGGAGGCGCGGCCGCGCTCGGCTCCTTCGCCCGCGGACCAATGCGGTGGAAGCGGAGGTGGGGCGGGGTCGGAGGGCTCCGTTCCTTCTGTAGAAGAGAGGCTGAAGTGTGTGTGTGTGTGTTTTGCTGGCATGCGAAGGCTGCTGGCCACTTTTGCTGGGGACGGGGGCGATCCGGGATGTATGGCCGCTGCGGCTCCCACCCGCCTCTGCCAGGGGATGAAAGGAGTTGTAATCCCGAGGGATTTTGGGAAGATCAAAGCGCTCCGGCTCAGTCAAGCAGACCTGACCCTTTGTTGGCCGTAAACAAATTACAGGTTGTCCTGGATTTAGGACCACAACTGAGGCCAAAATTTCTATTGTTAAGTGAGAGATTTGTTAAGTGAGTTTTTCCCCATTTTCCTGCCCTAGTTGTTAAGTAAATCACTGCAGATGATAAGTTAGTAACCCAGTTGTTAAGCGATATCTGGCTTCCCCAGCATGAAGATGCAACAACCATTTTTAGTGAATTACAAATGTAATTTCTGGAACTCCAGAAATGCAAAAACAGTCCATATTTCCTGAACTAGGAAATCTATATAGAAAAACAAGCAGAATGCCTTATTGCCATTTCTGTATCAACTGCAGAAGATAGACCCAGAAGATAGACAAGCCCAGAAGATAGGCTCAAGATCTAAATGGATCTCAACGGACTTGAACACTGGGACCTGTCTAACAGAGGGACCTTGGAATCCTAGTGGACGATCACTTAACTATGAGCCAGCATTGTGCAGCAGCAGCCAAAAAAGCTAATACAATCCTGGGTTGTATAAACAGAGGCACAGAATCAAGATCCCACAGGTATTATAAAACCCTAGTTAAGACCACCCCTGGAATACTGCAACCAATTTTAGTCACCATATCACAGAGGTTACCAACCTTTCTCGGCTGGTGGACCAAAGGAAAAGGGAGGGGGAAGCATTTTACATGGGTGTGTGCGTGCTTATGTGCACGGGCTGTGAGCACGTGTGTGCTACAAACGGGCTAGTGCCCATGTGATACTAGCCCTGCCCTGTTTTTGTGTGGTGTGGTGCCTCATTTCCATGCCTCACTTTTACGCCTTGCAGTGTGGCGGCGGCGGCGGCCTATTTTTGCTCCCCGTGGCGCGGCAGTGGCCTGTTTTCGTGCCCTGAGGTGCGGCGGTGGCCCATTTTCATGCCCCAAGGCACAATGGTGTCCTGTTTTTGTGCCCCACGGCGTGGGGTCCTGTTTTCACACCCCATGGTCACGGTGCTAGTGCGAGTCAGGGTGTGTGTGTGCACACATGCGCATGCACTGACCAGCCTGTCCCACTGGCCACGGCCCACTACCGGGCGACGGCCCACAGGTTGGGGAGCCCTGTCATATCACAAAAAGGCTGACACCAGCCAGACCATAAAACAACTCAAAGAACTAGTGCAAGATTGGAAGACATGGAGAATCACCAAGAGTTGGACAGGACTGAATGGATGACATCATCCAAACCCAGGATATAGCCCCAGCAAGATTATTGCATCGATCAATGACATCTGTGATTGGCCAAAACTTTTTGGACATGAGATTTTAACACTAGAAACAAGAAAAGAAACAAGAGCCCATTGCTGTCTAAGCAGAAACACCCAGTATCAAAAATTCAATAATCTTAAAAAAAATTCTGAAGTTCAGAGGAATCCACAGGGCTTTTTCAAAAGGTCAAGAACACATGCAATGCACATTTAAAGAGTGAGCAGAATTTCAATTGTGTGCTTGCAGTCACTCTCTTGACTTTTTTTTGTGTGTGTGACAAGCCCACGGCTGATGTTACAAGGGTCCAGGGAGTTTCTTCAAATGCTCTGGGGAAGCAGCATTTGTTGGGAGAGAGAATTATATTTGCAAAGATGAATGAGGTGCAGAAAATAATCTAGGGTTGCTGTGTACAGATCTGGAGAGCCACTTGCCTGAAATGGTCTAGGGTCTCCCGCTTGAGGAGCAGGACTAGATCACCTCCCAGGTCCCTTCCAGCTCTATTTTGATTGATTGATTGAAATGGTATAGGGTCTCTTGCTTGAGCATGCGGTTGGACTAGATGCCCTCCAATATCCCTTCCAGCTCTATTTTGATCAATCGATTGATTGAAATGGTATAGGGATCTCTTGTCCAAAGTATGTGCAAATATGTTGCCTGGACCTTGTGACCTTTTTTTTTATTTTATTTTATTGAAAATTTTTATTTTTTAAAACATACAATCATTTATAAAAATACAATAAAATTTTAAAATAGAGAAACCCCCCCTTACCCTCCCTCCCACCCCCACCCCCCCTCCCTTCACTTCCCAGAGCAGAATACAGGGTTAAGAAAAAAAAAGAAAAAGAAAATTATAATAATTAAAAAAAAAGAAAAAAAAAGAGAAAGAAAAAAAAATATCATAATTAACCTTTAACTCCATAACTTATAAAACAATTCTCTATAATATTTGATATTCATTCATAAAATAAATAAAACTTTTTAATTCCATATTTTTTCTGAATATAATCTATCCACCTTCCCCATACAGTAATATATCTTTCTTGTGTATGATCCTTTAAATAAGCAGAAATTTTTGCCATTTCTGCAAAACTAGATACTTTAAATATCCATTCTTCTAAAGTAGGCAAAGAATCTTTCTTCCAATATAGACCTACTAGTAACCTTGCTGCAGTTAATAAATTCAACATCAAAGTAGTTTCTTTTTCATTTAAGTCAACAAAAATACCAAGTAAAAATAGTTGAGGAGTAAACTTTATCTTCTTTCTAAAAATCTTTTGAATGTTCCACCAAATCATAATCCAAAAAGCCTTTACTTTTTTACAATTCCACCAAATATGAAAGTATGTCGCATCATTATTGCCACATCTCCAACATTTGGGCTGTATGTTGGAATACATACAAGATAATTTTTTAGGATCTAAATGCCATCTATAAAACATTTTATAAAAATTTTCTCTCAAATTTTGAGCTTGTGTAAATTTAACATTTCTTATCCAAATTATCTCCCATAAATCCAATGAGATCGGCTCCTGTATATTCTGAGCCCATTTAATCATACAATCTTTAACCAATTCTGTTTCCGAATCTAACTCTAATAAAACATTATATATTCTTTTTATATGAGCCGGACCTTGGTTTTTAATCTGAATAACCAATTGTCTATCTTCTAGTGTTATTCCCTCTTTCTTGTCTACAGTCCATCTATCCATTATTTGTAAATATTGAAACCATGACTGTAGAATATTTTGCTGCCTTAATACATCTAGGGATTTCAAATGCCAATTCGAACCAGAACAAATTAACAATTCTTTATATGAAATTTTATCAAAATTTGTCCCCTTAGAGGTTCCCTCAATTGCATGTCTGGGAATCCCCCAGATAGGTATTTTATAATTTAATCTATAATAATACTTCTTCCAAACACGAAGTAAGGCATTCCTCAAAATATGTGATTTAAAAGTCCGATCAACTTTCTTATTAAAAATTAAATATGCATGCCAACCATATATTAAATCCCAACCTTCCAAAAAAAGAATATCCATATTTGTTAAATTAAGCCAATCACTTAACCAAGTTAGGGCGGCTGCATCATAATATAATTTCAAATTGGGTGCCTTAAGTCCCCCTCTTTCTCGAGCATCCTGTAATATCTTAAATTTAACCCTTGGTTTCTTCCCGGCCCATATAAAATTATTGATACCCTTTTGCCATTCCTCCAAATTTGCCTCTTTTTTAAGAATAGGTATCATCTGAAACAAAAAAAGAAACTTTGGTAGAACATTCATTTTTACAGCTGAAATTCTCCCCAACAATGACAATTGCAATTTTTTCCAATCTATTAAATCCTTTTGGACTTTTGCCCATAGTGGTTCATAATTGTTCTTGTACAATTTTCCATTTGAAGCAGTTAGATATACTCCCAAGTATTTAACCTTTTTTACCATCTGAAAACCTGTGGCTTTAATCAAACTTTCCCTTTCTTTAACTGACATATTCTTAGATAATATCTTAGTCTTATAATTATTAACTTTAAAACCAGAAACATTCCCATACTGTGTTATAAGTTCTAATAAACCATCAATCGCCTGATTCGGCTGTTCCAAAATTAAAACCAAATCATCCGCAAATGCCCGCAATTTATACTCATTCTTCCTTATCTTTACACCCTTAACTAACTTCGATTCCCGAATCTGAATCAATAAAATTTCCAATGTTAAAACAAATAACAATGGGGATAATGGACATCCTTGTCTTGTCCCTTTTTGAATATTGAAATTCTCAGTCAATCCCCCATTTACAACAATTTGTGCAGATTGCTGCTGATATATAGCTTTAAGTGCATGTAAAAAATTATCCCCAAAATTCATTTTCTCTACCAAAGAAAATAAAAATTGCCAGTCCAATTGATCAAAAGCTTTTTCAGCGTCCAAAAAGATAAAAGCCACAGGAATCTGATTATTCTTATCCAAGTACTCAATTAAGTTAATAATTTGTCTAACATTATGTTTCATATATCTCCCTGTTATAAATCCTGCTTGATCACTATGAATCAAGTCTTTCATAACCTGCATTAATCTATTTGCCAAAATTTTTGTAAAGATCTTATAATCAACATTCAATAATGAAATTGGCCTATAATTCTTAGGCTCTGTAAGATCCTGATCTTCCTTCGGAATCAGTGATATAAAAGCTCTTTTCCAAGAAGGAGGAACTTGCATACCCAACAAAATACTATTAAAGAGTTCCTTTAGTGGCTCTATCATTTCTTCAGATAAAATCTTATAATACCTAGAAGTCAGTCCATCTGTTCCAGGAGACTTTCCAACCTTTAACTGCTTAATAGCTAAGCCAATTTCCTCCACAGTAATTAAACTATTCATCCCATTTTGTTGTTCCTCTGAAAGTCTAGGAAAATGTACTGATTGTAAATATTTATCTATATCCAAACCCCTTATATTATCACTTGAATATAATTTTGTGTAAAAGTC